AATCAGGGAAGCCTATTTACTCCTACTCAGGATCCTTCCTTTATTCATGATCAATTCCATAAATACAGCCCACTCTTACCCTTCCCAAACTCCTCCTTATTAGGTCTGCAGTGGCCACTGGTGGTTATAGCAATGTCCATGAATTCTAGGATGGTGTTGGGGACAATTCTTTTAAGCATCATCTTACCTTCTTGTCACCTTCATGAGAATGTCCTCCAGACATGTACCCTCAGCATATAAAATAGTAAGCTCATCACATGCTCCCCAACCTTTCTTCTTCTTCTGTGGCCCTCAACCCTATTCAGGGCATGCTCACACACCTAGCTGCCTCAGTTAGTAACCCAGATATCACCTCTCCCTCATCTCCCTTTCTCCACCATCCAACCTTTAAAACTGGTTGATACTTCTTCAGAAGGCTTTCTTCAGTGTGTATCTACTTCCTGACCTTTAATGGCACTTTTTAGTCCCTATCATATACCATCTGGGTTTGTGCAATAGTCTCCTAACTGTTGGCTCATTGTGACCTCTCACTAACGTACCTATGAAAGGCCGAGTGCAGTGTTTAACTCTGCTCTGTGCACGGTGAAAAGGCCAGGGTTGATGGGAAATGCTCTGCTACCCTTCCCATGTCTAGTGCCAGTGCGTGCCTGTGCGTCCCCTCGCCAGCCTCCTCCCCACCTTGCTCTATTCACATTTTCCTTCAAAAGAACCACATTGCTAAACACAGCTGGACATTGTAAAGTAGGACCCTACTCCTGGTCGACAGAAAGTGGCACCCCCAGCCTAAACCAGAAGAAAGATCACAGGTGACAACACCTAAGAGGAAGCGGATATGACCTCAGAACACACATTACACCTTGGTGCTAGGCAGGGGCTGGGATTCCCCTGGGGCCGTTCTTAGCAAATGTACCCAAAACATTTGCCTGTAGTCCCCACAGGGTGCTCTGTGGTGATGTTTGTCTTGCTCTGTTTACAATCTCCTGCTCTCCCGGAGCTACTCCAAAGCAGGGACTGGGTGAGGAGGAAGAAGCATCAGACAGGGAGCCAGAGGCCCCTGGAGACTGCAGCTAACTGTCTGCACCTCTTAGAGCCTGGTTCCTCATCTGGTAAATGAGGCCAGAAAGCCTCAGCAAACTCACGTTCTGGGTCACCGTGAGAATGGAGAATCATAAGGTATAGTGAGACTGATGTTTGTGGGGGGTGGGGACATTAGTTTTGGAGTCAGTTGCGGACATTAGTTGTGGAGGCCCAAGTTGAGCTGCCCATTGTCTCATGTAGGCCCAGCCAGTGAGCCTCTCTGAACCTCAGTGTCTTCTTCTGTAAAGTGTGATCAATAATGAATTTTTCATTCAAGTCTCATGCAGTTGAGACAATGCCTTTAAACACAAAATAGAATCCACTTGTGGTATGATAGCATTATTCTAGTGTATATGGAGCGCTTTCCAGAGTGATATACCATCTGAGGTTCCCTTCACAGCCTAGTTCTGCATCTTGCTCTTCAAAGGTGCTCACTGGGAGTCTGCTGTCTGGGACTTATCACACTTGACCCCACAGTAGGGGGGAGCATGCCCCTGGGGTGTGTGTGATGCACAGCTGGAAACTCCCAGTGAACAGGACCCTGGCTAGTCTGAAGATGGTCCTTTGCTGTGGGTGGTCTGGTTAAAACAATAGTTAAATATAAGTCAGGTTCCAGCAACGGTGCAAAGACCACAAGTCACAGCAGATCCTCCCAGGGTGGGAGCACTTACAGAATGCCCAGGAGCATTTTGGCTGGGATTGCCTGTTTTATGTGAGTCTGATCATTTGTGTGATTCAGGGGTATGTGTGTGTGTGTGTGTGTGTGTGAGAAGAGCAGGCATAGTGGCCTATATTTGACCTATTCAGGTTCTTCATCCAAGTCAGCCATACCCTTCTTGGAGGCAGCAGGAGTAGCAAGGGCGCTGTGCTGGCATCAGAGGTCCCCAGCTTCACCCTGGCTCCACTCCGTCTCTGCTAGGCTGCACCACGGTCACTGTGCTCCTTTTCTCTGAGCCTTGGCTTCCCTTCCTAGAGAGCCTGACCCAGCTCACAGAAGTCTGTGAGGGTCATGGCAGGTGTTAAGGAGTAGAAAGCCCTCTGTGCAACTGGGAGAGGTCCTGTCTTGGTAGAAGGATGCTGCATGAACAAGGAAGGCCTGTATTCCTAAAGCTAGGATCCATTTCTACTTGTAGTACTGCTGGCAGCCCCTGCTGGAGGAAAAGATGCGTCCAACACCTTCTGGGAGCTGTGCTGGACCATGGCACGAGGGGCTCACAGAACATCAGTGGCAGTATGACTGAGACACTTGCTTGTTTACATCAGGGAACCTGGCTTTACCTGGTAAAATGAGAATGTACAGGGGAAAGGGCGCTTGTCCCTGAGCTCAGGAAGCCTGTGTTCTTTCCCACTCTCTCCAGTTTGGCCTGTCAGCTGTCTAAGGACCAGATCACATTTTGCTCATAATCACATCTCAATGTGCCTGGCACAAATTAGGAAGCTGTTTAAAAATATGTACCGTTGGAAGATGACTGGTTAGCCAGAGATGGGTAAGATTCCTCAAGGGAGGAACAACCTAAGACAGGCACAGTCGCAGGGGGGCCATCAGGTGAGAATTTGGGGATCAACAGAGGTGAGGCTCAGAACCTCACCCCCCCTGCTTTGAGAGAAATCTTCTGCATCCGTGGATGTCTTGCTGCCCTTGTCTAGCCTGGATTAATACTTAGTCCATAGGCACACACCTGATCATCTGATCATCTACATTTGCCTTCTTACAGCACTAAACTATGTTTTCTACCTTTATCTTGCATCTACCTACCACTTCAGCATTTTATTAAAAATAAAAATAATAATAATAATAGGAGAAATGTGGGATCAACATATAAATCAAGTACAAAAATCAAATGAATATTCATATTTGACCTGATGGTTTATAGGTCATATTGCATGATCAAAACCGAAAGTTTCTGTGATGAATGCCCTTGTACTGTTCACCATGTAAGAATTTATTCACTATGTAAGAATTCGTTCACCATGTAAGAACTTGTTCGTTATGCTTAAGAAGATTGGAGACTGATGAGAATTAGGCTTGAGATGGATTAATGATTGTACATTGAGCGTTGACCCCCTTATACTGAATTTTATTGTTGTTAACAACCATTTGATCAATAAATATGAGAGATGCCCTCTCAAAAAAAAAAAATGTACCGTTGGCATATTGGCATGATAGTACGGTTCACAAAATACCATTGTGGACACTGTATATATATATTTAAAAAAAGCACTGTGGACAATGTGTATATATTTCTGTAGGGAAAAGCCTAGAAAGATACTAACATTGTTATCATTATCTTCACATGATGTGATTACAAGTTACTTTAATTTTCTTCTTTTTTATTTCTACCCTGTAACTTTCTACATAGAACATATATTAGTTGTGTAATCAAAAAATCAAAAAATTAAAATGTATATACAAGTACATAACTATATTTTCCATACCTCTTCTGGTTTTTCATTTCCTTTTGGATGATCACAGTAAACTGTGACACAGAGATTTGGGGGTTTGAGAAGAATAAAATGTTAATTCATGTTAAAATAAAAATGTTTGCAAACATTGGCATCCAGAAGCAATAGTGGAGGCTGTTTTTGTGCCAGTGACACACAGAGCACACAGTTCCGTGTAAGACACTAACTCACAGTCGGAACAAGGTAAGTCTTCCTGCGCTCTACCTGTTAATCCAACCGAACTGAAAATAATTCAAATACTCAAAATAGAGAACCAGTTCATCAACCACAAGACATCTAGACTTTGATCATTCCAGTGCTTTAAGGATATTTTATTGTTTTAAAAGTAAGTATAACACATTACAGTATTTTGTAGAAGTATTTATATTAAATATTAAAGAATGCTAAGAGGCCTGCATATACCTGCTTATAATTCTGCAAAACCTCATGTTTATTAAGAAAGACCAAAATTCACACAAAGTAAAACAGAACTAGGTCAGCCCCTTATTTGTAGTATTGATGAGTTTTATAATTTTTGCAAAAACGAAGTGGAAAATAGTGAATACCTGCCTACCAGTGATTGAAATAATTTTTAAAGTTCCTTGGAATTCCAGAAAATTATAAGGGAAAGGTGGTAGAAAAAACAAATGCTCAGATACTACACTGTCACTGGCAGTGTAAATAGACTAAGGTGTCCCGAAGCATGACTAGGAACTATGTATGTCAAATTTTAAAAGTGTCATTGTCTTAGTTTCAGCAGTTCTCTTTTAAGAATTTCATCCAGGAATAACCAGAGACTAGAGACATTTATCTTACTATTGTTTGTGATATGAAAAAGGAGGAGTTACTAAAATTTCCAACAGTAAGAAATGGGTTGAATGGATAGACCAAGAACATGGAATACTAGAAAGCCATTGAAAATATACCATGAAAGTGTATTGAGTATTTTGAAAAAAAAGTTTCATTAGAACATATAATTATTGGATTGCCAAATAGATCATGCCATATAATGACATTTTTTTTAAATGATGAGGAATGTAAACCAAAACACTGGCAAACATTGTTTCTAGGTGGTAGAATTATGACTAGTTTCAATTCTTTTACATTTATCTTAAACTCCCAATTTTTCTATGACAAACGTATTAATTTTCAGTAAATGATTGCTCAAAACAGGTAGAAGGCAAAATTGTGAGATGGGATCTTCATTTCTGGTTCAGTTGAAGATGGACACTTCATCCTCCATGTGCAAGTACTTTGGACTCTACCTGCAAACATATCCAATTCTCCACTTCCCATCCCTCCAAGATGTGTAGAAAAACTTCTCAGTGCAAACCTGATTCCTGGAACCAAGTGTATGTATGCACACACACAGGTGCACACACAGTCACACACACAGGCACACACAGAGGGGCATATAGGCATGCACACAAGGGCACACAGGGGCATTTACAGAAGGGCACACAGGCATGCACAGAGGCACATACAAAGACACACACAGACCCACATACAGGCATACACAGGTGTACACAGACACACACAGGCACACAGATAGGCAGCTATACCTGACATGAGAAGTACCCAGGGACCAGAAGCCTCCTCCAGCCCCAGCCCACCTCACTCTATGCAGGCCTTGAGGGGGGCACTTCTCTGGGCCTCAGTTTCATCTAATAAATGAGTGAATTGAGCTAGAATTCCCTCTAAGGGCCTCTGTACTGGTGATATTTTAGTCCATGGGAAAACACACCTGGATGGGAAAAAGATTAGTAAGGGAAGAGGAAATAAATTTCCTCAGTGGCTCTGTCCCCACCCTGTGGGCCCCTTCCCCCTTTGGACTTGAAATGAAAAAGGAGCTCTTATGACGCTCCTGTGAGGGGACTTGGGTATGTGGCAATGGCTGTTTTGGAAAGCTAGCTCTTAGAAAGGGTGGGAAGAAGGAAAGGAGTTTATGAGCTTGGGTTAAAAATCTCGGGAAGGTTATAACATGCCACGGGCTGGGTGACAGGGTTTTATTGCCAACTGGGCCTCCGGTTGGCACATTCCAAATCCCTTGCTTTAGCTTCCTGCAGAGGAGACACGGGGAGCTGTGGGGCTTCAAGGTAGCAGATGAAACCCTGCCCAAAGAGGGCGGGTGCTGTGCTGGGGATGGAGCCCTGGGGCTCGGCTGATTCTCCAGCTTCCAGGCTGGGACACCTGTGCTCTGGGCCTCAGTGCAGCTAGTATCAGTTGAGAACTGGAGGATCTGTTTTCTCAGAGTCGCAGTTTCCTGATCTGCAAAATAAAAACTTGGACTAGATCAAGTCAGAAGTCCTGTCCAAGTCTGGCCCTGAATAAAAGCCACAAATTTGAATATTACAAACACTTCTTATGGTTTGGTTTATGCAGAACATGTGCATAATATCAGTACTGGACATAAACGATGCATTAAATATCATGAGGCTTTTCTCCTCTTATACAAATAGTGGGACACTTCCAGTTGCACAGAGCTTCTGGACTTTACCTGCTCCCTTGTCCTAGAACAAGATAGGCATTTGACCTAATGCTGTAGCAATTGATTTTTGTTTCTTACTATTTTTCTACATATTTTAATTTTATTTTCCATTTTTTCCTTTTCTTTTTTTTTCTTTTTTTTTTTAATTTTTGTTGTGTCACACAAAAGATAGAGGCCATAAATTTCCCTTTATCCCTAGGGAACACCCAATTTCATGTTTAACAACAGACTCCACTGCCAAGATACTCTGGTTTGAAATCCAGCCTTGAATTTTTATTCTGGTTTGATATCTAGAAATTGACAACCACATTAAAAATTAAATGTGCCCCAGTCCTTGTTTACTAAACATAAAAGGGCCCTTTCGAGGTCACATTTCATTGTTACACATAAAAAGAGAAGTGTTAAATGCTAATTGTGTGCCTGACTCCTCTGTGGAAATTCTTCCCTTCAGCCAGGCTCAGCCCTCCGCTAGGGGAGACTCACGGGGTAGAGAGGGAGCCGCCCAGGGAGGAGCATCTGCCCCGGCAGGGGGAAAAACAGGCTCGGCGGGTGGCGCGCTGCACTGCGGTATTTACTGCTCCCAGAGAGCGTGCTCTGGGCTTTTGGGCGATGCACAGTTGGTGTGCAAGCAGGCCTTTTGTCCACTAACAGGATCTTGGCTATGAACTGTTGACAATCTTACCGTCCATCTTGTGGAGGATGGCATTCAAGGGACGATAGGATCTTAGATCCCAAAGCTCCCATTTTCAGCAACCCTCCTTCAGCTGTGTGGAAAAGTCCTTTCCTCTTCACGTGAAGTAGTTGGACCATTCATTCAGTCACTTATTCTAGTGCCAGGGTTTTGTAACAGATGAAACTTGCTTCATGAAGAGTTCGCCACAGAGAGATTAGAGTGCTGGCTCTGGCCCAGGCTGCCAGATTTTGAACCCTGGGTCTTCCCCTCCCTAGGTGTGAAAGTGTGGGCTGATCACTTAACTTTTCTGGTCCCCAGTTGCCTCGTCTATAAAATGGAAAGAATAATAACAACACTTACCTCATTAGGTTGTTGTGAAGATTAAATGCTTGCTCAAAATAGTGCCTCACACAGTGGAAGCACACAACACATGTCAACTATCCCTGTTAATGAAAGAGAGATTTGTCAGTCATTAAAGGACAGCATGGTGTGTTGCATGCTTTAATAGAAGTGCACATCCAGAAATGACTGATTCCGGAGGATTCACAGAAGCCTCCTGATCAGTTAGGTTTCCATCAAAGAAGCTGGACCCACCATATGTGATACAGGATCAGGATTCATTATCAGGGCTCAATTCTCACACTTGTAGGAACTGGCTAACCAGTTGATGTGAGGCTGTGGCCCCCGAGTTTGGCACTGGGCTTGGAGTCAGCAGGGCAGGTGGTTGGGAAAGAGAAATGGCCACGAAGAGGGGAAGCGGTGGTGGACTGCAACCTACACGGACCAACGAGAGCCTATTTCTGCCTCTCACTGCCTCCCTGTGATGATGCTAATGACCAGCAGGTCAAGCTGGCCTTGTCATGGAGCTCTACAAGCAAGTCCAGGATTGAGAGTTGCTGGAAGAGGAGGTCTGGTGAGAACTGGAGTTGCTGAGGGCTCAGCCACTGTTCTACCTCAACCCCTGAGCCAGCCTGTCAGGGACACCATGTGAAAGACTCCACATCACAGGATGCCTTACACCAACCTGCTAAAATTAAAACACAGTAGCTTTGCTTCTATATTCCAGACATTGTTTGAAATGTCTCAGTGGCCCTTGCTACTATGAGACCTTGCAGGGCTGGGGAGTCTGCAAACATAGCTCCAGCTTACCCAAGCCAATCAACTCAGAATAAATCCACCATGGTTCCACAGAGGAAGTGATGCATTGGGTCTGAAAGAGTAAGCATTTGCCATGAGGAGAAAGAGGAAGGTAATTTCACACATAGGGAATAATGTGAGGAGCATGGAAAGGTCTGGTGTATTCAGGATGTCTGTTGTGGCTACAGAATCAGGCGTTTTTGTTACTAGGCCACAGAATCAGCTGAGTGTAACCATGAGCCACTGTAGTTTGAGAAAGTGTAGATCTATCTATCCACTGGGTCATGATTTTTCTTTAACCAGAAACTGACTTCTTTCCCTTCAAAGCTTTTCCTTCAATGTTTTTCACCCTACCATGGCGATTAGGCAGCAGCAGTGAAAGGAGCTTTGAGCATGGAGCTGGGAGACCTTGGTTTTAGTCCCAGTCTTGCCCTCACTTGATGGGTAACCTTGGACAACCCTTCCACCCTTTGAATCCCAGTAACCTCATCTCAAAGGATGGGTTTGAACTGAAGCAATAGCAAACTCTCTAGAGTCATTTCAAACTTTAACATTGTCTGGCTTTCTGGCAGTAGCCAGGAGACAGTGGGCACAGAGATTTTCATTCTGGTGAAAGCCAAAGCAGAAAACTCAGGGCCCTTTGCCACATCCCTTATCTTTTGTCTCTCGATCCTGGAGGCAGGCATAGGACCAGGCAGCCTCCCAGGGTTTTACCTGGGGTCTAGGCCTGGCTCAGGGTAGATGTCCAATGCTAGGTCAAGGTTAAATGGTATTGTCTTGGTAATATTAGCTTTATACTATGCCAGAAACATTGTATGGCTGCCAGTAAATGTTGAATGAATGCACGTGGGAGCTGGTCCCTGTTGCTCCACAGGTTTGGGGATGGTGTTTGGGCCACTTTGAGGAGATACCATATAGACTTCCTCTTAGGGGAGACTCTGAATCAGAAACAGGTTCTTCAAGTCCACCTGAATCTTTCCCCACATCCTGGGAGGATTACAGGATTGAATAACGAGGGAGGGGGGCAGGACAAAAGCCTGGTTCATGTTTGAAGTAGCATGAATTCTAAACAAAGAAACAGTCCCTGGCCTTTAATCTTGTGGATATGTTAATAAGTATTTCTGATTGGAATATTTCTAGACATAGGTATCTCTTCTCTCCACGATTCCTGAGGAAAGTCAAACTGATGCAGCCTTTGCCTGTTTTAAACATGTTCAGATGTTACAGCGCAGGGAAGCCATGGTGTTGTTCTTCATGGAACCCAGTAAAATGTTGATATATTTAATTTCCCTCTCTTCTGGAAAAGCAATTTTGCTAAAAAACAATATGGCTATGTTTTATATAACTTGGGACTGTGGAAGTTGTGGGTTTTGGAGTCAGGAAAGCTGGCTTCAAACCTGGGCTTTATATATAATAGTTGTGTGTGTGTACTAGGCAAAGATTTTTATCTCTAAGCCTCAGTGCCTTCTTCTATAAAAGGGGAATGGTAACAGTGATTGCTTAAAGATCTTAAATAAGATAGTATATATGTACTATGTTAACTGTCCAAAAAACATTGTTTATACTGAGGAAAAATGTAAAATGTAAAATGGATTATTTAAAAAAATGTGAAGGTATCATATTTCTGAGTTTTCCTATTGCTATTTGTCTGTTATTGGTTCATTTGCTGAGATATATGCTTGCCCTTGTAAGCAGACAAGTGATAGCAGGCAAAAAGAGCTTGAGAAAAAAAGTCATAGAAAAAAGAAATAAAAATGAACTTAATTTTTGCATACAAATTGCTAAAAGGCACTATTTTTCTATTTTGGAGGTAAAATCCATTTATCTCTTACAGTTTGAGAATCTTGGGGGCATGTCACTGTAGCAGTCAATTTCCAGTTTCATTTAGGCATGAAATAGTTCTGAGCCTTATTTTCTAAACCCACAGGCCAGGCCATCAGAGCTGAAAAGTTCTTAGAGGTCATCCAGTAAAGTCCTTCCATGGTTGGGGAAACTGAGACTTAGAAAAGGAAGTGAGTTGCCCAAGATCTCTCACATGGTTAGAGATAGTGTGAGGCCTGGAATTTATGTCTTCTGATCCCTCATCGGGTAACAGCATGTTGCCTCAGAGCCCTCAGTGACTCATCGTGTAATCTTGGAAAATTCCCTTGTTTGCTGTATACCAGTTTTTCCACGAAACACAAGAAGACAAGGATAACCCATGACCTGTACCTCATGGAGATCCCTGTCGATCAGACAGACCCAGACTACAGTAAGTGATCAACTCCCAGGAGCTGGGCACAATCCATTCATAAAAGACACTTGAGTATTACCAGGGGAGCTACTTTGTAATTAATTGTCAGATGGAAGGATCCTCCTTCCATCTGTAAACTGAAAGATGTGGTTCAGGGTATTGTTAAGCTTCCTCTGGCCCTAACATTCCAACAGTTACTTCAATTTAGGACCCAATCATGGGCTGACCAAATGCACTGCCCAATGACAGGGACCTATACCAACTTGGAATCACTAGCTAGAAAATCAAAAGAGCTAATGAGCATGAAATTGAAAGTAGGAGAGGACTATACATTCCTTTTCCAGCATTACCTATGTGCCTGTAACTGTAACCATGTAAGGATACACTAAGGTCTCTTAGTTAGTAAAATTTCCAGTCAGTGTTTCAGAATTATTCCAAGCTTCTCATCTCCCATCTTTCTTAAGGGTAATCATATTTCCATGGATTCAGTCTATGGACCTGTATTGATAAGCAGTGATGAAAAGCCAGGATAAGTGGGTCCAGGCCAGGATTTAGGACTAGGTTTTTGTCTTTATTTAATTTCACTTTCTCCCAGTATGAAAGACAGCATGGAGGCAAGCTGTAGGTACTGGCCAGGGAGTTGGAGAGGCCTATTACTGGCTGGCTATGTAAGCCCTGTCCTTGCTTATTCCACTCTGAACCTCAGTTTCCTCTTCTGTAAGAGAAAAGGGTTGGGTTAGATGCTCTTTAGAGTTCATTTAATGGCTAGCATTCTACATTTGGCTTGCCTGGGTTTTCAGAGCAGAGTCCCCAAAGCAAGCATCTTTGACCAAGCCTGTCTCACAGCCCAGATATCCCCATTTCTTCTCCCTTAAGGGCTTCAGCACAGGGCTTGTGTTTAAACCATTTGCAACTGAAATTTGTTTCCTTGCAATGAACATTTGTGTTCCAATAATTTTTTAAAGACTTGGAATAAATAAAGCCAAAGGCATTCCTCAAGGAGCTGCAATTACAGATGCATCAATGGTAGGGGGTGGGAGTGGAAGGGGGATTCTGAAGATGGGGACTTGTCTTTCCCTTGAAATCCTGCTAAACCCAAGCAGCCACAGCTCTGGTAATCTGGAACTGCTGAGTTGACACTGCCTTAATGGCATCCCCTCTCTCTAGCCCCAGTTTAATTATGTTCCCGCAAGGAATCCTTCATCTGTGAAGACAGGGATAAGTTTCTATATTCATGTAGATTTCCTTTAAAAATAAACCTGATGATAAGATTCCTCAAGGGAGGAACAACCTAAGACAGGCACAGTCGCAGGGGGGCCATCAGGTGAGAATTTGGGGATCAACAGAGGTGAGGCTCAGAACCTCACCCCCCCTGCTTTGAGAGAAATCTTCTGCATCCGTGGATGTCTTGCTGCCCTTGTCTAGCCTGGATTAATACTTAGTCCATAGGCACACACCTGATCATCTGATCATCTACATTTGCCTTCTTACAGCACTAAACTATGTTTTCTACCTTTATCTTGCATCTACCTACCACTTCAGCATTTTATTAAAAATAAAAATAATAATAATAATAGGAGAAATGTGGGATCAACATATAAATCAAGTACAAAAATCAAACGAATATTCATATTTGACCTGATTGTTTATAGGTCATAATGCATGATCAAAACCGAAAGTTTCTGTGATGAATGCCCTTGTACTGTTCACCATGTAAGAATTTATTCACTATGTAAGAATTCGTTCACCATGTAAGAACTTGTTCGTTATGCTTCAGAAGATTGGAGACTGACGAGAATTAGGCTTGAGATGGATTAATGATTGTACATTGAGCGTTGACCCCCCTATACTGAATTTTATTGTTGTTAACAACCATTTGATCAATAAATATGAGAGATGCCCTCTCAAAAAAATAAATAAATAAATAAATAAACCTGATGAGTTCACTCTAATTTTAGAAAGTTTGGGAATCAATCTGTGGAAGAAGGAGTTAAAATTTCACTGGCGTGAGCTATGCAATAAGCAAGCCCCAGCTGAACGTTTGAGGAGTGAACATGCAAACAGAGA